GTATGTATGTTCTGTCTTAAGATTTCCTTACATAATTGTTATACAAAATCTTGATTATTAGTCTCTCTATTATGAATGATTGATTCAGATTTAGCACCATATAAATTTTAATCTAAAGAAATGAATGATAAAGATTTTGTGGAAAGGATATGTGTAACTCATCTTTTATTTAGGATTCATGGTTTTTTATCATCCTTTCCTCCGATGATATACAAAAATCCTTTGTTTACCCTTGTTTTTTTGAGGACTTATTTGCCCGAGAATCTGAGATTTTAGTTGGGAGAAGGAGTAGGGATGTTTTTATAATTTGAATTCAATGTATAGAATGATGACATGAATAAATGAATTAATTGAACTGTCTATGGGTTTGTGCATGTTGCAACTATGAGAAAAATACCTATCTGGAAGCATTAGTGCTATCTACGAGTTCCCTATTCAATTCAAGGATTTAAGTTTGAATGGAGCTAATTAAATCATGAAAAAAGTAGTTACGAATTTCTTAAGCTCACTTGAATGGTCTTTGCAAATTTCCCTAGTCAATATTTCTGGGTTGAGAACATTATGGTGACCCTTGCTTAAGTCTCCTTGTTAGAGGGTAGGGGGTTATGTCTTCCTGTCATAAATATGCATTGACATAATAAGGCTCATTAGGATTGTTTGTACCGAATGGTGATGGAGAAATTCAAACCATTCTATTGATAGAATTAAGGCTTGATTTTGCTGATTTGATTTGTGTCTCTAGTCAATAAGGAATAGTCTTTTCTGAGAGGAGCTGAAACTTATAGAAAATAATACAATTTGAAATTTCAGTTGCGTGAGTGTGACTTTGGTTCACCTTTAAAAACACTGGACCAGAGGAAACAGAAAGGAAAAAAGGATGTGGAGAAAGAACAAACATTAGAAAATGGTTGCTTAAATGCCACAGCTCACTTCTAAAGTTAAAGATATTTCATCAAGTAAAACTAAAATAATTGAAATTAAGTGCTTAATCCAAGTGGTGTTGGATACTTAAACAAGGCAGAAAACCAAGGGGAATTAGTGCTTAATTGTTGTTAAGATGACTATAAACTTTGCTATATATGCGGGTTTGAGTGTCCCTTCTACTCAAATAATAAAATGTTTCTTTGGCCTTTCAAAAAAAATGATAAGTGAAATTAAGTATAGAGTTTTATCTTGTTTTTTTTCCATCCCCACATTTCACTTTGTTCAAGAAAAAAAAACGGGAATAAGAAATAACTGCAGTTTAGGTGTCATTAGAAGTTTCAAGAGCATGACATTAGTAACCCAATTTAAGGTTCTCATTAGCAGTTGTGATGAATTTCTTAATCTCACTTGAATAGTATTTGCAAATTTTTCCAATCCATGTTGATGGTTTCAGTACGTTATGGTGATCCTTGCTCAATCAAGTCTTCTTGTTAGAGGGTGGGGCCTTATGTCTGCCTATCATATGTATGTATTCACATAACAAGGCTTTTTTTTTTTGATGAATGGCTCCTTAGAATTGTTTGTACCCAGATGGGAATGGATAAAATTTCAAACCTTTATTTTCGACATGGTTTACTTCACTCTTTACAACTTGAGCCTTGCCTAATACCAACAAGAGTTTGATCAAGTTGGTTCATACTAATTTCAAAACATTTATTTTGGGTTAATGTTAGAGTTTCAAATCATGCAAGAGTTAACTCTTTATATACCAAAAACGAAAAAATTGAGCTTACCCTGAGGTTCACAATTAAATAAGGACAATGATTCACACAATGTCTACTCACAATGAAAGTTTGCAATCCTAAGTGACAATTATAGTAATTGTGATTGACCTTTTTTCATTTAATGGAATGCATGAATCTATATTTATCCACTTGATGCCATTTATTTATTATAAGAATTCATTTTAAGAAATATTGTACGTGAATCAACTTTGATTGAATAAAGCATTACAAATTAATAATGAAAAGATGGAGATTTCAAAGAGAAATTGTTCACTTGTTATTTATAACTCTACACACAGTACACTTACAAAGTTACAAATCAATGAAATCAAGGAAAGAATTAAGGAAATCTTTTAGACCATTGAGAGTCAATTAAGGGCATGATGATGATTGAATCTTCTTAAAGTGGAAGGAGAGGTTTTGAATCTAGAGCAAACTCTAGTAGGCAGCTTAAGGAGTGGACTAGACCCAAGTTGTGATTAAACCATTATAAATCTTTATGTTTGAGATTTCTCTTCCCTTAACTTTTAATTTCTGCAATTTATTTTAATAAGAGTCAATTGTTTGTCGATTGTTTGTGCTTGCTCATTGATTTGGTTTGAAAAATTGCGTAAGTTTTTCGAATGCCTAGTGCACTTCCCTCTTGGGTTCCTATCATATAGGCCAATGACATTGAGAAGATGATGGCTTAAATGACCCATTTCACTTCTAAAGTTAAAGATGTTTCATGAGATAAAACTAATATAGTTGAAATTGAGTATAGAGTTTACTGGAAAAGTAAAAACAAGAAAAGCAATGGACCTGAATAGATCCTTAAGCTCTTTTGTCTCAGGGAAAAATGTTAAACAATCTTAGGTGGATGCTAGGCCTAGGAGTGCTCTACCTA